GGCCTCAGCCATCTTGGGAGCGGCACTTCCGCCCTCCCTTGGCCCCGGGAAGGCGGGGCACGGCCGCTTGAGGCCGCCATGTTGGGAGTGGCAGGAAGGGGCAGGGCTGCCGGGGTGGGGCTGGAGCCCCAAGCTGAGGGGCGTAGAACAAGCGAATCTCCAAACCGAGGGGCTTGGGGGGGGTCTCAGACCCCAAGGAGACGGGGCCCGACAGGGCTCAGAGGGGAGCCAGACCCCGACAGAGGGACCCAATGGGGTGTAAACCCCAAGGGAAAGGGCCCAGAGGGGCTTAGAGGGAGTCAGACCCCAAAATCCAGGGCCCTGGAACTGCTCAGGGGATCCCTGGTGGGGCCCAGAGCCCATCTCGAGGTGGCCAAAGGCAGATCCCAGCCCAGGCCCTGGGCTCGGACCCGACTCAGGGTCCCCAAGGGATTTGCATTTGCTCCCTCTTCTAAATAAACTGCCCACAAGCGAAAGCGCTTCATTTTTCCTAATAGTTTAATTAGACTTTAATGATTTATTGCTCATCTGCAAGGATTAATATTGCATTCATTAAAAATCATTCATATACAAAATAAACCTCTCCCTCCCAGCCCGACGCTGCCACCGCCACCCCCGGGCTCCCCCCCCGCCCCGCAACATGGCTTATACAGAGATGGAGCCCTTACGCCGAGGTTCGACCCTAACGTGGATGGGAAAGTGGGGGACCGTGACCCCCCAGTGCAGGGGTCCCGGCCTGAGTCCCCTCATGGGGAAGGGGGCACGCTCTCGCTCCCTCCCCGCAGACGCCCATCCCGGCTCACTGAGCCGGGCGTGAGTCCCCCGTGAAGTTTGAGGGATGGTGGAAGGGTCCCTGCGAGGCAGGTGATCCCCAAAATCTGTGGGGAGACCGAGCGACCCAGCGACAGTCCAGGAGGAGCCCGGGCAGCGGGAGAAAGAGGAATAGTCAAAGGACAAGGAGGGGGGGGGGGGGAGGGAAAAGAGGAGGGTGATCAAAGCCACGAGCATCCCTCCCGTCTTCCTCCCGTCCCCACAAAGGAGCTTTGCACCCCCCAGGGAAGCGGCGGCACCCCCAACCCTGCAAAGCCCCAGGGAGGGACCCAGCCAGGCGGCACTAAAAAGGCATCCCCGGTCCGCGGGACGGGGTGGCCGGAGGTGAAGGAGCAGCCCCGGTCATGGGTACCACAGCATCTCCATTATCCGTGTACCGGGAGATGCAGGCAGGGCAGGCAGCGGGGGTCCTCCTTCCCTCCATGCTCTGGCCTTGGCTGGGGGAAGAAAGAGGCAATTTAGGGAGGATAAAAAAGCCAAGAGAAACCTCACTGGGTTGCAAGGAGCTTCCCCCGTCCCTGGACAAGCTGCAAGAGATGGAAAAGAGAAACATGTCACCAGCGAGGATGGGGAAAGGGATGAACGAGGCGATGAGAGCGGCTGAAACGCACTGCGAGAGGGCAGGGAAGAGCTGAGAAAGCCCAGCTCGAGGGCCAGGGCAGCGATGGGGAGCCAAGGGCTTTGCGCAGGGGTCTGCGGCGCAGAGGGCCCAGGCTGGGGTACGGGGAAGGCTCATCTCTGCGTCCGTCTCGAAACAAAAAGTGAGACACCCCCCCTAAAAAACACCCCAGACACCCTTAAAACCACCTCACGCTTCTCGGTGGGAGATGGGGCCGCTCGGACGCAGCGAGCGCCCAGGCTCGGCGGGCAGCTGCATCCCCGACACTTCCCCCCCCTTTAAAACATCTCTTTAAGGATCAAAAAGGAAAAGAGGAAAAAACAAACAAACAAACAATGTTTTTAACTCAATTAAGGTGCAGTTTGGCTAAAAACCTAGGAGAGATGAGGATAATGCTGGGTAAGCGACCCCCGTCCGAATTCAGATTAGCACCCTGAAACAGTGAACTCCCCCGTACCCGGCTGGCCACCAAACCTGGGCCAGCAGCCACCAAACCTGGGCCACCTCAGCGCAGTGACCTTGGCCAGGCTTGGGGACAAGTCACCTATTCACGAGGTGGCCAGCAGGCGCCACTCTGCTCCCAAGCAGCGCTAGGAGCATTGATCTAGCAGCTAAAACTGGGCTCTTTAAGGCAATTTAGAAGTTGCAGATAATCCACACAAAGAAAGAAACGTAAGATAAGGTAGAACTGCATCTCCGTATCTGCAGGGATCCCAGCCGAGACTAACGCGGGCTGGAAAGGTGAAAAAAAAACAAAACAAAAAAAAAACCCACATCGCTGCAGGAATGAACTGCCCTTGGCACATCAGGAAAGGGAAACCCTCTCCAAGAGCCAGGGCTGGGAGCCACCAGCGGCTTCAGCCACATGAAAGCAAGAAGCGAATCCCAGGTTGTCTGCCAAGATCAGACAGAGATGTGATCACGTAAAAGGGTGAAACCGAGGAGAAAAAAAAAGAGTGACCTTAAAATCACACTGATAAATGTAAAAACAGGTTTCTCTGTTGGTTTTTAAAAAAAGAAAAAGGTAAACCAAAATAAAATGATCTTTAAAAATAATCTCTCTAATGTTGCCTTGTGTGGTCTGGTCCTTCATGGGTATGGTCCGTCAGTATCTAGAAGAGAAGGGAGGGGACAGTGAGGCCGTGGATGGGGGGGGACACGGCTCCTGGGAGCTGACGCTGTCCCAGTGCAAGGAGATGCCCCCAACAGCACCCGCTGGGTGGGGAGACGGCGGCTCCCTGCCCCGGCCGGCACTGACCTGTAGTAATTGGGTTTGAAAGGCCCGTTTTTGTTGAGTCCCAGGTATTTCGCCTGATCGTCCGTCAGTTCTGTCAGGTGGGCGTCGAACGAAGGCAGATGCAAGCTGGCAACGTACTCGTCTGGGAAGGGGGAGAGGAAAGAGGGGATCAGGGGGCGCACGTCCCCCATTACACCGTCGGGGAGATGATGTATGGACTCATCATATGGCACGAAAAGGGCCAGGGCACCACGCTGGGTCTGGCTAGGCAGTCCTTGCCATCTAGCACCATGGATTCACCATCACATAAGCCTACGGCAGAGCCGAGCCCAAGCCCTGGTGCTGAGCAGGGCTGGATGTGCACCAAAAGGCACGTGGGTTGCATGAAAAGCCTCGGAGCAAGAAGTCTGCAGGATAAGGAACGCCTGCCACGCTGCAGAACATTAAGGAAAATAAATCTAACAGCCTGCAAGGGTTTTAAGGTTGCTGCCTCTGATGGCTCCCCCTGAACTCATCCTCTCCCCAAAAGTCTTGTCCAGCCCAGGTTTGAGTTTCTCCTTACACCCAAAACTGCTGGCCCGCCGCAGCCCAGGGGATGTCAGCCTGGGTTCCCTTCACTCACCCATCTTCTTCGGCAGCAGGTACACGTCCTGTTTGTAACGGCCCTCGGGAGCGTTGTAGAGCTCAATCAGAGCCAGAGCCTGCAGAGATCACAGGGGACAGCCCGGGGACAGTCAGGGACGGCCACCAAGCTGGGCAGCGCCGAACACCCGCAACGGCACAAAGCTCTCGGCGGCAGAGATAAGGGTTTGGGGGTCTGAGGGAGGGGGCAACCGTTTCCAAAATGCCTTGAAGGAAAAGCTTCCACCTAAGGGTACCTCCCTCTCTGGGTCTCCATAATCCCACCGCCACTGGGGGAGGACCAGAGAGAGATCGGAAATGAGATGCCACCCAGCCTGTTTGCAGTATCTGGGCTTAACGCCCCGGGGAAAACCAGAACACGAGGACGGAGGAGAG